GTTTCAATCTACCTTGTAAACCACTAGCTTCTTCAACCTGTAAGCAAATTTTCGGCAATATATTAAGTATAGTGTATAACAAATAAAAAAAATGATTTTGGTTCTGATTATTGTGTTGATTTACTTGCATCCCATGTTACATAATCAAGAATGATCTAAACTAGTTTTTCAATTTTGTAAAATAACTCAAAATAATCAAAAATTATTTCACTAATATCAATTTCTGTGTTCTCTTAACTTCCTCTAATAATATCAATCAGTTTTGTGCAAATATTTAACCATTATAATAAGCACAATATTTAATTATGACCATTTGGTACTCATGCCATAATCCATCTGTTCGATGCCGACAGAAATCAAGTTCGCCTTCTAATGATGATTGCACATGTTGTACATAGTTATAAAGCATAGGTACAGCAACAATTGCTGTCAATGTTGCTACTGTTGAAATAGCAATGCCAAAGAATGCTGCGCGTCTGAGCCCATCTGCTTCTTCTTTTTTCAGCTTTTCGTATTCGAATCCCATAGTGAATCTGTTGAAAATGTTAACGTTAATGAAATTCATTTGATTACTACACACAACACAGTTTGTATTCAATTTAAAAATTACTTAAATCGCAAACTTTTTTTAAAAATAAAATAACCTTCTTTTAACCTTCACTCTTCATTTGCAACCAATTTCAAAAACTGTTTAACTGGAAAAAAACATAGTAATGGATTTATTTTTGAAAGATTTTACAAATATAAATGCAAGAATCAATTTGAACACTAAACCAATTATCCTATTAAAATTTTTTTTTATATCATCGAAATGAGTGTTTACTAATTTAAAAAATTGGTCTTTTTTCAAGCATACCACTTGAATTTATTCAACCAATTCTAAAATATCCATTTTTATTCTTAAAAAAAGCCATTACTTGATGGTTGTTAACAAATTTTCTGCTTAGTCTAAGTAGCTTAAACAATTTTCAAGTCATATAAATTGCTTCTTGCTACGAAAATGAAGTGAACTCGTATTTTTGAGAAGGTTTTTCATCTCATTAGAATAAAGTTTTTTATACATCTAAGGAAAAAGTAGAATTTAAAAGGATGCTAAACAAATTATTGAATTGCTTATAAACAAACGTTTAAATTATTTAATTATTTGTTTACTTTATTTGCTAAAAATATTACTCAAAAAAGTGTCGAAAAAGATTTATTTTATTTTTAAGGATGAGTAAAGTTTGGAAAGAAAAGATAAGTGAGATCGATTTATTGGAATTGCAGCAATTTTAACATCATTCTTTAATGCTAGCAGAGATTTCAGTTGACTGAATGATTCCAAAAAAGATCTGAAAGCATTACTATTGGGCAATAAACATCGTGTAAAACAAGTTTTGTTAATTAAGATTTTGTTTTTTTTAATGAGAAAAACTGCAATAAGGTACAAAATGACATGAATAGTTGTGCAAAACAAAATCGTTTTATAGTAAGGAAAAATTAACAAAATAGCTAATTAATGAGGCTAAAGTATGATCTAATGATATTATGGATGATTGGATAAATGAATGAATGAATGCATCAAGTTTTTTAATCTAGTATTTTCCTTTTTTTTTGGAAATTCAATGTTATACAACTTTGTATTTTTTATGCAATTTTTGCTACTCATAATTGCTCTTTGCTTTGAATAACGACTTTTGAATGCTAGCAAAACAAGAAATGAATTATGGAAATTTGTCTTTTACTACTGTCTGGCACTAATTATTTGCACTAAAATACAATTTTTCATTATTTCATGCATCATTCCCTTTTATACTTACCAGTTTTGCTTATAATTAATTACACGGTGACATAATATTTTTGTCATTAATTTTTCTTTTCGACATAGTATGATTTAAATTTGAAAATTTATTCAAATTACAAAAAAAAATTTCAAGTCACCCAAAAGCTAATCATATTTAATCTATTTTGTGAACTAACTGCAACATTTTTCAATATTATCAGGAACTTGAAAAATAAATTGATGAAAATAACAATTTATTCACTTTTTTACAAAGGAAGAAGATTATAAATGCTTTTTAAATTTTCCATGAAAGTACTGTGACTCTATGTAAGTAAGTGTAAGCTTTAGTAAAGTTTTATACTCATGTAATATTTAATTTTATATGAAATTTCGATAAAATGAGCAAAACTGCATTTATATAGAAATCAAATTCAGGTAACTTTTTTACAAAATATTTCACCGTTCAAAATTTCTATCAAAAATTGCTTTATTTCACAAAAAGCCTCTTTGAAAATAGCGATTAGAGTTAAAATTTTTCTCTTTTTGCTTAATAAAGTACTCACTAAATTTCAATTTATGAAATGTTTTCTGAAAATAATTTTGCACCAAGTTAGACTAAAGTTATAATTTTCTAGGTTCTTAATACAGTTAATCAGCTAAGTGACCTACGCATATAGGTATAAAATGAAGTGAAAATTTTAGAAGCGAATTAATTAAGTTTTAATTCTCGATTCTTTAAATTTTTATCAACTTATATGCAAATTTTTGATGGGTACATTTGCGAAGAAATTAAGTGTTCATTGATGTGTCAAGTAAGATGTAATATGAAGGTGTAACTGTTGCTAGATTCTTAGCAAAGAAGTACTGATAAATTCTCAAGGAAAACTTTAGGGTTGAATGTTAATAAACTATAGCAAAAGTATTCTCTTAATAATAGCATGCAAATTATTCACTATAATTGAGTGATTTGTCTGTGAAACTAAGAAACTGAAAGTAGAAGGCTAAAAATTGCATTAGATGCTGCATCATACAGTGTAAAGGAAGCATAAAATTGTTACATCGGCTAAAAAAAAACTACGACAAAATTTTACAAAGACAGTTTTTGAAACAAAAAGCAGTTTTTTATCATTTGAAATGATACTAAATACATTTTATGTTTGCCTATGCAAATAAAATAAAATGTATTAAAGACAGATAAAGTAAAAACAAATAATGACTGCAAAAATAATAGTGACCACAATAACAATAATATTAATAATATTATTATTATTAGTGACAGTTATGATAATGATAATAATATTGGTTGAATAAATGAAAAGTCCGAAGCAAAGTACACCAATTACCAATGAAGCAAATTTAAGAAATAAGCCAGCGGCTTACATGATAAATATACAGACTAGTAATTAAGTGAAAACTGCGTTGAAATGTTTTCATCACAGATGCTTTTATATATGACACCGTTCCGATTCATTACTTTTTTCTGTGGGTGGTTTGATTGGAATGATGGAGAAACGTCGACAACGAGTGAAAAGGAGTGTAAGAAACTGTCGTACAGATTCTTTCCTTCCCTGTTTTTCCGCCAATTTTTCGTATCTTGTTATAACTGTTGAAACTTGATACGTATATATAAAAAGAAACTGAATGAATAAAAGGTAAAAGTAGAAAGGAACCACCCAATAATGCCAATTGGTAAGAGATGGGATACTAATTTGCAAATCAAAGTAAAAGCATAAAAAGGTTTAGGTAAATAGTTATTGAATCAAATACGATAAATAAGTAAATTGATAATCAGAGAGGATGTAGCAAGTAAGCAAGTAAATAAGTAAACAAATAATGCAGATAATTGAAAATACTAAAAGTTCACTACTTGTTTGCTGTTCTAAATCTTTCCTCAAATCATTTCTCGTTCAAATTGTAATTTAAAAAAGGAAAAATAAAACACAAAAGAAATTTGCACATAATTTAGCATTTTTTTTATTTTTATGATAGTAAAAAAATCAAATAGAGTTAGCTTCACTCTTTTTTTATTCTTATATAAACACTGTGTACTGTCATTAGAAAGTACGCATGCATGAAGCCATCATGGTCATACTGCAAATACTTGAAAAAATTCATAGAAGAAAGATGAAGGTATAAAAAACAAACAGCTACTACAAACTGGATTTGTAGTACTGCAGTAGGCAGTAAGGACTGATTGCGGGTAGGAAATGAAGATTGATGAATGGAAGCCACTGAGGTGTGGGATGTTGTTTGAAGGATAGATAAAAAGTGTCGTTATGTTACAATAATGGAATATAGTAATTAATTTTAATATTGTGAGAAATTTTTGATTTCAAAAAATTATGAATTGAACAATGAAGAAAATAGATACAATTTATTCATGTATAAATAAATAATGTTACGAGTAGATAAATAGATAATCAGTTTATATGTTGTTCCGATTATTAAACAAAAATGATCATCTCGTACAATATCAACTGCCTTCACTGTTAATAATTGAAGTAATCACTTTTGTACTGCTCGAACTTTTCTTTA